AACGAGGAAGGGGGGGGGGGAATTGGAGCAGAGGCGAATTTTATTGGATATTGTTACGTATGTCATGAACGGTCCTAATGTCCGTTAGTTAATCTTCGAAAAATTAAAATCTAAACTGATACTTTTTAGCTCTTTGAGTCACGTGTTTCCAGAATTTAGCGATCATCATGCTCGGAGACAGAGCAACCCCCTATACTGCTGTGCTAAGGAAAAACGCCGTATGAGCATTCGAGAGTTGCCAATTTTCCTTCGATAAAATCTTTATTTTTGAAGAAAGCAATGGATATTTTCCCCTGGCATTTTCAGGAAATTTTGGTGAAATTGTGAACAAAATTATCTGAAAAATTGGAGGAAAACGTTTACAAATTTTCTCGAAAATCCGTGATTTATTAAAGGATATTTATCAACGCCTGAAGGTTTATACGGCGTTCTTCCTTAGTAGGGCAGTATACGGCCCGATTGGCGGAGGGGGATGATCGAGGGGTAAGGCGAGGAGGGGAGGGGGTGGAAGGGATCGATTGCGGGAGAGGGGGAGGTCGGATCGGGAGTTATTTCGGCGTAAGATGTAAACTGTAAAATGTTCAAGGACCAGATTATCGGGGTAATGGAGCATGGCGGGGGGGAGGGGACGGCGCGGTGATAATTGGCGTCTGTTGTCGAGGATATGCCTCGTTAAAGCTCCGCCGCTCACCCCCTCTCGTTTCATCCCCTCCACGGCTCCACCCCACCCACCCTCAGGGCCCCGCCCTCCGCAAACTTTCGGTCGGGACCGTCTCCGGCTCGGTGGGAAGTGATGGTCGCATGCAGTGGCGCTATTATTTGGACTTATTAATGCTAAAGGAACGATGCTAGTGAGTTGTGACCGGATCTCTGAAAAGCGACCGTATTTTCCGGGGAAAAGTTTTCCTCAACGTTTTGCAAATGCGCAAGGGATGAAAATCTTATTTTTAAGTTACTACTACACTGGAAAAAAAAAAAAAAAAAAAAAAAAAAAAAAAAAAAAAAAANAAAAAAAAAAAAAAACATCGGATCTAGAGTCCAGACTCTTAAAAACATCGACAAGAAAAAATAATCTTGATTCAATCAAATCAAGAACCAAGCCTCTTAATTTGAGCGGACTTCCTTTTGATTTAAGCAAAAATCTGATTGAATCAAGAGTATTTTTTCTTGTCGATGTTTTCAAGAGTCTGGACTCTAGATCCAATGTGTTTTTTTTCCAGTGTACTATATAGTGTGATATTGCCTTGTTCTAGTGCTATTAAAGAATACATTGTAGAACTTTGGGATCCTTATTGTATACGGCACACCCAAGAAGGGAAGTTTGATATAGATAGAAATCAAGTTTGACCCGCAAATCTCAAAAATTGAAGGGAATATTAGTCTTGTAGTTCAAAAGACAAAAATGTTTAGGTCCCAGAAAAACGAGTCTATAGTGTTTGCAAAAAGTTGAAGTTAATTTTTATCCCGGAAGACAAGGTTCTTTTTCACGGACCGGTACATCAAAAGAGACCGTGCAAAAGGAAATTTTGCACACCAAAAAAAGGAAAATCGATCTTCTTAGAAATAAACTCGTAAATTCGTGAGGATTTTAACATATCGACGGTGAAACTACCAAACCACGTATTTCGGTTTGCGACGTCGCAGACTTCCTGTCATACTTTATTTTTTAAATGAAAAACTACTTAACGTCCACTCTTGAAAAGATGATCTTCTGTGATTTTTCTTCTTCTTGCGGAGAAAATTCTGTGAAAATTTCAAGGAATGATATTGATTTGGTCTACTTCAAAAAAATAAAATGTGAGCGTAGATTTTCAAACACCGCAGACGAGATACGTGGTTTGGTAGTTTCACCGTCGATATAGAAGCATCCGTGCCTTTCATCATCACAGTTGGCTCGCAACAACGCAATAACGCAATAATTCCCTTCGCTACCTATACTTTCAACATGGTATATGTACTCTTAACGTTCTTTCCCCCAATTGGAAAATAAAGGTACATCGACAGTGGCGTTGACAAAAAATATCTTAATTGGATTAGTGTAAATCGACGCAGGAGGAAAGCACATAGGTTCCCACGAGACCACTCTCTTCCCCCTTCCCCTCTCACCTAATGATCTACGAAAAAAAGAGAAAAAATACCCGAAATAAAGAAAGCGCACTGTCCGCGGGGGGACAAGACCCCGTCGGATTCGGTTGTTTCCCCCGGGGGACACGATTAAGATGAGCGCGGCCCAGAATTAAAGCATTAACGGCCAATCGGAGTTGGATCTCGTCGAATACACCAATAAAATCGGACAAGTCCCCGGTCCTTTTCCGTCCAGGGTTGCCAACTTGCCCCGGCTTTGGGTGACGGGGATACGTCCGTGCCAAGAAAAAACGCCGCATGAGCCTTCAGGGGTTGCCAAATTGCCCCTGGCAGATCACTAATTTTCAGGAATTTATTTGAATATTTTTCTGCCAATGGACCAATAGACAAGGTACGAATTTAAGCATTCTAATACATGTTTCTTAACCAGAATTTCACTTAGAATACGATTCGCGCAACGAAAATCACCAAAATCAACTCCTAACAAAGATATCAACGTTTATATTTCACATTGGTTACGAGGAGTTTGAACTGCCCGCTCACAAGAAACTCAAAGCTTTACGTGAGTCAAATCGTGCACTACAACGGTTTCAGCAAACTTCTCAATCAAGCGATGTTCATTTCCCACCATGTGCTGTTCAAACCATCAACAACTTGCAATAGCTGAGCTAAAGCGTCAAGATTAAGGTTGCCAGATTTTTATATCGCGGAGACTGTCATGATAACGTTTAGCGCGCGATGTGAGTCACGTAGAGCATTGAGTTTTCATGAGCGGGTGGTTTGAATTCACGCATCAAGAATCATTAAATATCTTCAAAACGAGTTGATTTCGGTAATTTTCGTTGTGCGCATCGTGTTTTACGTGAAATTTTGGTTATGAAACGTGTATCAGAATGCTGGAATTCGTGCCTTGTCTACTGGTCCATTTCTCAGTATATTTTGTCAGTAATTTGATCGAAAGAGTCTGAAAATTTCTAGGAAAAATGTTCTTAATTTCCCATAAAGATGAACAATTTATCCGAGGAAATTTGGCAATTCTCGAATGTTCTTCCTCCTCAGTACGGCAGGATGGGGGATTTTCCGCCCGACGGCCTGGCAACGCTGTGCGGGGCTGATTATCGTTCGCCCGTTATCCCTTGTCCAACATTTTTACGAGGCTCCGATTCCAATTGCGTTAGCATACGGCCCCTTTTCCGAGACGTCATGGCGTTATCGCACGAATTCGGAGTCCCCGCTGTCGCCGAACCTACGGAAGACAGCATTGACTGCAAAAGTTGCGATCTATTACTTTGAACGTTGCGATGAGAGCTAACATAGCCTGACCTAACCCAACATTTTAAATTAAGAAAGTTAATGATTCAGAGCTTTAGAGCAAAGTTACATATAGAATTATTCAATTTATACACATTTTTTAAGACTGGAAAGAGCAACATAAGCGAAGTATGAAAAGTATATGTATGTCCCTAATTATTGCAAACTATTAGAAAAGCAAATCATACCAAATTTGAGGTGACTGATTTTAAATAAATCTAGATCAGATTGCTGAAGCAAAAAGAGGTTTATCAAAATTATATTTAAATGTAATACACACAATGCATGCAAAATTTCTATTTTATAAATTTCTATTTCTATTTATACTTCTATTTTTTTCTATTTTTCTGATTAATCCACGTGAAAGTGAAGAGATAAGCTGTAAAAAATTATTGAACATGAGTTGATAGTACCTTTTCAGGAACTAAGATATTTTTAATATATTCTTTTTACTATAAAGGTATCATAAATCAGGAAAAAATTTTAAGAAGGAAACTATCGCAGGCTTGAACATTTCATCTGTCAGTGACTATCAAAGGGAATACATGATCTGATCGACTTTTCATACAATATCATGATGAAGTGAAAAGCACACCAATAGGTATCCAGTAGCGATACAAAATATCTCCTAAACTGCACAATTGACAACAGTGGAGGGCTCTTTAAAAAGATGTCTGCGGATGACCGAAAGTCAATAAGAGTAAACGACAGCAATAACAATGTTATAATGAGCGCGGAAAAGATCCGTGTTATGACTTTCTTTCCTGAGCGAATGGCCAATCACAGGACTTGAGTTTGAAGAAAGCTCCTGTGGTGTCGAAATAAGAGAGTGCTTTCCCTGTTAAAGGTGACCGTAAAAGACAGGTCATCGCGATGAAATTGCCCATTGAATACGAAACAAAAAACCTTTGGGGAATATGAGATGCGAGTTGTGGAAAGTTACTTTCGGAAAGACATCAGTTTTGAGAGCTATGCTTATCTTCGCAACATAAAAACCCATCGGAAAAGAATCGGTTGTGCATTTCAAAAAATAATGCAACATCATGGCTTTAACTGAAAGAAACGATGTGCCAAGCGCCTGAACGCAACTATTCGTGTCTAACGGATGTCCAAGTTGCAGAGCCAAGGAATTGAAGGCGCGCTGGTTATCTTGCGCGCACCGAAATGGCAACTAAAGCAATATAGATTTTTAGTTCTAATTCAGGT